TTAGAATAATTATAGTGAGAGATAATTTGAAAGGAATTTATTTTGCAAAAATATTATTTAGTTTTAATTAATTTAGTTTATGATCGTGTGATTGATGGTTGTTGACCGTGATATTTTATGTGCAAAACATCCGCCGATACCATGATTCATATTTTAATTATGTGACATACCATGTTTTATTTGCATAGAATTAACTACATTTATTGTTCTTGTTGTGTTTGAGAACCATTAGTAGTTCATGACGTAATGGTCTTGTGCGTCATGACAAGACTTAGTGCGTTGACTGAATTTAGGAGGTGGACCAAAGATCTAGTTCAGGTTATGATATTTGACTTAGAAAAGCGAGAAGAGTTGGGATGAGAGAGTCTTGGTTCATATGATTAGATGTGGCTATTGACGTATCTTCTAGGCTCGCGTCAGTGAATTCGTGTAGTCACTAGGGTTGGCTTGTTGGGCTAAAGTAAATTCGTGTAGTCACTTTGGTCAGTGAATTTGTGTAGTCACCCGAGTTCTGTTTGAGTTCAGACTAGGCTGAAATCAGATTAAGTGTAGTCCTATGACCGATTCGTGTAGCGGTATTGGATGCACGTAAAGGATTTGTGAACAGTCGTTTATCCGAGAATATGAACATTGACTCTATGTGAGTTATGGACCTATGATCTATTTTAGGATGGCTAGTACTCGACCCTGTTATTGTATGCTGTAGACCTTATGATTATCATGATTTAGTAGTGAATTATATTTTGATTTTGTTAGATTTTTAGTTGCACGTATCTTTTGTCATTTCTGATGTTACATCAGTAATTACATTGGTCATTTGACCATTTCTATTTTCTTTTGTGGGGTCTTACCGTGTGCCATGCACGCTGATGTACACCTGTTTTCTCTGGTGTACGTCAGATTTAGAGGACGGACATGTCCAGTATGGAGATGCATTGTAGCCGGAGTGTCTTCCGGATAGAGCAGAAGAGCAAGCTGGAGCTTAGTCATGTCTTTTTTATAGTTGCTGATGGATATTATATTACTTATGTAGTACTTATCTTTTAGCCTTTTGAGAGATTTAGTTATTTTTACAGTACTTCCTTTTATTCTGTTGGACTATGTATTTTCATATTTTTATTTGGACTATTTTGTAATAATAACATGTTTGATCCAAACTCTGTGTCTCGGATGATATTCCATTTATGATATGACTCTTTTCTATTCTGTGTTGTTTATTATTTTCTTGCTAATTGTGATTGGGGACCTGTGACTTCGCATTTTATATTGTTTGATGCTTAGCGTATTAGGTTGAGAAGAAATGGTCTTTTATTAATTCTCCTCAATCTAATACGTCGCGTGCTTGTTCACATTCTGATTCTCCGATATTTTGAGAAGCAAGGCGTTACACGCACATAGTCTACGAGATCTTCTTCTACTATCATCTTCAACACATACATAGCTTGTCGGCTTTGTGTTCTACTTTCTTAGTGCTTCGCCAGCTTTCCGAAGTATTATAGTTTCAGCACCCTCAATGACCTCCCAAAGGTCTTGTCCCTGTAAATAGGACTTCATACAGGTCTCCTAGTAACTCTAGTTATTGCCATTGAGTTTCTTGAGTATCGTAGTTGTACTTGCTAGACCCGTCATCGTGACATGGTGTTGCTTCAGTATCTCCATGTAAGTATGGTCCCTGACCAACTAACTTCACAGTTCCTGACTGAGCACAGACTTCAGCCTTCAATAATACCGATAGGATCACCGTAGGAGAGAGCAGGTCCCTGACCACATTGCTTTTATCACGAGCCATAACTTCTACTATTTCACATAAACAGTAACCGTACTTGTGAACAGTAACCGTATTGGTGAGTAGTAACTATATTTATGAATAGTATCATACTTGTGAATAGTAAAAAGTGCCTTCAAAGGGTAAATGATAATCTAATTTATTTTCTAATGTGGAAGATCCAGCTTTGGTGGCAACCACAGAGCATACGATAAGCAGATACACGCATCCTAAACTAGGCTCTGATACCACTTGTTTAGTTAAGAGGAGTTGTGGACACTAAAAAATATATTATTATTATTTCTTTAGTGGTACAAATATACTATACTCTCAGATAAATACTCTCTCTCTCTCTCTCTGGTACTGAGATGCCTTACAAATCAAACTTAGGGAGTATATATAGGCTTTCTTATGGGGTAGGTACACACTATTAGAATTAGATGATTACTGTAGCTAGGTAGGTGGAGAGGCTAGGTGGGGTGTGGAGCTGTTGACTTCTAACAAAAAAACCCCTAACATAGTTACTGTTCAAAAATTGGAGAGAACGTGAGTGAGAATATACTGAAAACACACCGGTAGGAGGATCCATTAGGGAAAATTTGAAATTTTAGGAGGGTTATGCGAGACCTCAGAGTTCAAGGAGGATTGCAATGTACTGTGTATATTGCATGCGAAAGCATGGTGGAAATCAATTTCACAGAGCAAGCTATAAACACAAGGATTTTACATTGTCTAGAGCAAGTCCTGTATCCTAGAACAACAGGAGAGAAAACTTCACTAATCATAGGAGAGATTAAGGATTACGTAGACGAGATCAATGATCTCAAGTTTCTCTCTCAAAGATGATCTATGGTTGCAATGTTAAATTTATAATACAGGATAAAAATGAGAAATATCTTATCTTTTTTGTTAACAGCAAATGGGCCCATATGTTCAAACATTCATGGTATTTTAGACAATAAGTAATAAATGATAATATATTTTATTGATTTGGAAAACTGTATGCATTACTTCTATGTGAGAAAGAAAAACAAAAGACATGAGGGACCACGTGTTTATAACGAAAGAATTTTGAACTAAGAAATTGCCTCTCAATGTAATTTAAAACATCTTTGGTTGGGACCATGAATCATGCATCTGTGTATCTCTATCTCTATGTGCCTGCTTTTGAAGTTCGTTTAGAACTAACCAGAGATGTCTTCCGATTACTGATGAAAGGGTAGATTCTCATTTCCTAAGTTTACTGCATGTACTAACATGACGTTTTTTTGGGTCAATATGGACTAAAATGAAACTTTGGTAGGCTTAGGCTTCACAATTTTTCTCAGACAATGTTATTGATTGCATGTTAAAACTTAAAATTTAGATATATATCAAGATGATATATATTATTTTTCACATGACCTGTTGGAATGTGAGAAAGATTAGCTAAAGCAAGTGCAACATTGCTTGGTATAAGAAGTTTTAGAATGTGCAAGAAATAAGCAATTGCTGAATGTTTTCACAACCGTCAACTCCTTCTTTAGTATGTGAAGAAATTAATAAAGGGGATAGAATAATTGTATGAATATTGTTTAATTACCAAGTTGATATCAAACCTGCTAAAAGTGATTCCCGTGAATCATAGCTAATCACAACAATCATGAATTGTAATTCCTACAGATAACTATGAAAGAAAGAGTATCATGGTAATAAAAAATTATGGAATTTATGCAAAAGGAAATGCAATCCATAATTGTTGAATATTGCCTTAATCTTCTTGTATATTATGAATATGGCCATGATCTTTTTGATTTTGCAACACATGTTGAATATTTGCCTTAATCTTTTTGATTTTGCAACACATGTTGAATATTATGCAAAAGGAAATATTTTCTTCATTTTTTTCAGAACA